AATTTTACATTAAACATAGTTCATATGAATTCGATTACAATCGTTTACACTCATTACATGCCCAAAAGCTGATTGACATCTTAGTTTTATAAAAGCATGGTTTAAAAGCCACATTTCGACTTTTCTTAATCAATGAGGGCCCGAATGAGAGCCATTCACCAGCGTATATCCCACACCTGAAATATTATCCCCATATAGAGTGAGGCATGCTCAATAAGATATCTCCTAAAGCAACTATTCTCCAACCTAGATGCATATGAAATGTCCACATGCAATTCACAAGTAGCAATCACTCCATTCAAAAATATACAATTCAACAATAAAATCCTTAATGTCATGCCATGATCTGAAAAGAGACTCATACATGAAACTCAACCCGAGCCCTTACTGGCTCCCATAACACATGTAATGCAATGAGTATAAAATCGGGCATTCCAAGCCCTCGCAATTGATGTTGTAAATTCAATGACCTTTTAAAATAAACCATGTGTCTTTGTTGGATAGCAGAATTTTGGTGTCTCACCGCCAGTTTCGCACACCGATACACTTTTTTGGACTTTCACCGGCAGAAGTGTATAAACCAGTAATCAAGTCTTGCACCCGAGATAAAATCTAGCCCTGCTTGCTACTCCTGACACAAGTTTTTCATGCAACCCGTGCGACTCTGTCGAACCTTGATCTGACTATATACCAAGCTCACTTATCAACCACCAAGAATGGTGTTTGATTCAACAACATGCATACACACCCACACTCATGTCAAATTCCCACGAATATGATGTTACCCGTGCAATATACAAATGTAATTAACCTTTGCATTTCATATACTTACGCAACAAAGATTTTAATTACAATTACAATACCATATTCAATATGTCATGAGCACATTATACACAATTCAATATCCAACAATATTTTCCATAGTAAATTACATCATAAGCATATAACTATCATTAACAACCTTAATGTCAATATATCATATGCATATATCAACATTTTTCAACATCAAATTTCAAGCATGTTATAACATAATTCATGCAAATAACACATTTAATTCAAATAGACATTTTATCAAACACCTTTAATGCACAAAATTATATAACACATGATGCCCAAATAATCACATTTATCAAGAAATTACAACAAGTAATTTCTAGATACCAAATTTATGCTATAATTGATTTTAATTATTCTTAATACTCATTTTTCACATTTCAAGTACCTATATTTTTCATGAATTTACCAAATAAGTAAATTTTAGAAACTTAATTCATGCAAGATTAGTTTACTTTATTTATACTAAGAGTGCATTAAACAAGAGAATTCATCTCAAGCCAAGCTATTCATATCATATGAAACTCTAGGTTAAAAATAAACCTAATTAGCAAGAGAATCCTTCTACCTCTTAAAGCGTAAACAACGGTAGGAAGCTCCAAGAACCCAAATCAAGCTCTAACCTTTGATTTCTCCAAATTTTGTCTTTTGAACTTCGTCAAAATCCATTTTTTTTTATACATAGGTTTAGCCCTCGTCGTGTAGATGAACTTTGATTCTTCGCTCGAGTCGTTTCAACCAACGTAGAGCCGTAGATTATAAAGAGAAGTTGGAGCTTCCCTCTCTATCTCTTCTTTCTATTTTTGAAATAATCTGATGGGTATGGGGAGAAATTTGATTTTTCTCCCCTATTTATACTCTTTTAATGTTTGGTCCTCATTTCGCCACACGTTCTCCTTTTTTCGGATCTAATTTTGACCTGAATCGATTTAATTTCATCTTAGTTCAAGTTTAAAATATTTTTATATGAACTTTCTTTAAATTATTTTTTAATTTTCAAAATTTAATTTCATATCTCGTTTTTAGGTCGCACGACATCCGATCACCTCGTAAAACGCAAAAAATCCAACTATCTCAGAATTTGACGAAAATTGTCTAGTTAACTAGATTTCGAGAGACGAATCTAATGGTGAGATCCGTTTCGTCATCCGAACTTTAAAAAAATACAGATTTTCAACATGCACTAAAATGGCAAATAATCGTTTTATCCATTTCAAAAAAAATTATATTTATCCGAATTTTACATAACTTTTTTTTAAATAAAGGGTGGACTGACTGGGCTTGGCGAGGAACCCTTGGGCCAGGTTTTAACTGAGTTTTTGAGGTGGGCTATTAGGTTGGATTTTGGGGTAAGTAATGAATTTGGGGGCAAACTCGAACCCTTTTTTTTTAAGGATATTGAACTCGGTCTCAGACGGGCCAACTATCGGACCTATCAGGTTTCGTGCCTATTTTTTTCAAATCAGATAACGGGACCTGTGGATAACCCGACCCATAGACACTCCTAGGGTTTAGGCACATCCGATAAGGTTTTGAATATATTTTTTATTTATAAAGAAATTTAAATAGGATGCATGCATTTAGTATTTTTATTTTTGAATTTTTTCATGTTTGGAGTTGCTTTCTATAATTTGTTATGTCTATCAAAGTTGTCATTATGTTCAAAAATAATAATAAAGTACTGAAAAATATTTTGCTGCTATTATACCAACTAATTATTATTAATTTTATATTTTGATTTGAGGTATTTTGTGGTTATTAATTATGAAAATTTTGAAAATAAATTAAAATAATAACAAGTCGGGCCAAAAAATAGAAGCGGATCTAATCGGATAGTTCGGTCCACCCAGGAAGAAGAGAAGTCGTCAGCCAATTCGTAGACGTCCATTACATTTTGGTGTTCAAAGAAACAGCCGAGAGAGAGAAGAAACCAATTCTGGCAGCCATGGAATCGACGGTTCGAAGAAGCGGAGGAGGACTTCTCGAAGGTCTCTACAGAGTCCTCATGCGACGCAACTCCGTCTACGTCACCTTCGTCGTGGCCGGCGCTTTCCTCGGTGAACGGGTTAGGGTTCCGATCTCATTTTTCTCTCCTCACTCACACCCCCACCCTTGTGTTTCATCTATGTATAGATCTGACGTTGTTTGAGAATTATGAAATCTTAAATTTTGAATCCTTTGTATTATTGTTTGCAGGCAGTGGACTATGGAGTACATAAGCTCTGGGACTACAACAACGTTGGGGTATTTTCGACATCCTGTCGTTTAATTTTTATTTTTTTAAAACTTTCCTCCTTTAATGTGTGTTTATTTCGAATTCGATTTATTGATCTAGTTTGCGAATAGATTTTCGAACCACAAGCCCTCATTTCAGACCTAGAGTGCCAAACAGAAAATTTGTTAGATTTCATGAAAATGATTCATAATTGGTTTTGTTGTGATCGTGCAGCAATTATGGTGAGTAGTAAGGAATCAAATAATTAAGAAAGTAGGAGAAAATAACACACAGATATTTACGTGGTTCGGCAATGTGCCTACATCCACGAGAGCGAGCGGCCGTTCTTTTTCATTATTCAAAGTAGGGTTACATCTTAAGTATTTATATAACCCTAATACGGACGTATTTACAAAAATACCCCTGTACCGTACCGCGGGGGCGTTGCCCCCGCACCCCCAACTAATCAACGTCCCCTTCATATAAATGCCGTCGCAAGCTCCGACATTTGCCTCCTTGCCATTATGCACATAGTAAAATATGAGCCACACATACTCTAACAGGTTTACACTGTGGAAATGTTATGATTGGTAATGCGGTGCTCGTGATGTTTACCTATTGTAAAGTTAAGGATGTATCATGCTTTTTGCAAGTAAGCTAACGCTGTATCTAAACAATTGTCTTAAAGCTTGCCTCAAATTCAGTATAATCGAGACTACCAACTTAACTGGTTTGAGTTGCACGCGTTTTCATCTTGTTTGGCTTTGTTTATCATCATTAGCATTCACAAATGGGACATATACTGAGAAGAACTCTAGAACTGATCCAAAAGTGTATTCTTCTGCTCATACTTGATATTGCTGGTGTGGAGTTCTTTCAGGCCCAATAATAGCTAGAATGATACATATCTTAAAATCACGTTAAAATGGACAGATCTTTTTGGATATAAAGTGGAGCCTAGGTATTTATAAATTGTTGTTGTTAACTTAAGAGTGTTATATCCTGTGATAAGGACGGGGTTGCAGGAAATGTATGTAGGCCCATTCAATGTCTAATTTATGGGATTTTTTAAATGTAGGGGTTTATTTGTTTTTTAAAGCAGGGAGATAGTGATTGTATGAGAGTGAAACGATGGATATCCTTGTGAGCAAGGGCTGTGCATGTTACATGAGTATTTGCTTTGTGATTTCCAATTGTTGTGGGTAAATTTGAGGTGGGAGATGATAGATAAACGTTGAGGTGGCTCAGTATTATCACCTCTTCTAAGTAGTGGGTTTTTTCTTCTTTTTTTTTTTGTGGTGAATATTGCACCTTTACTTTGGGTGGACATAGGGGAGTTGTATTCTAATGTGCAAAAGTGAATGTTGCAAGGAGAGGGATTTTGGGAAAACAAATAAGAAATGAGACTTCATTTCATAGAAAGTAGGATTCAACACCATCTTTTCAAGGATAAGTTGCTGAGATTAATTTGTATTATCGTTAATAATGTGGTGTAGTTGATGGAACTTGCACTAGGGCTCTTGTAAATTAGCAAAAGAGGAGGTAAAAGAATAGAAAAAAGTAAAGAGGATGTAAAATAGACATCTAGTAGAGGGAAAAGAGAGAGAAAAGAAAATAAGATAATTGATGTAGGCTCAAAGCGTCTTCGAAGTGTTGGACTTAAATGCATTCTTTTGCTTCCTTTTGGGAAGTAATTGCTGCAAGTCTTCTGATTTTCAATGGGTGGAATGAATATTTATTGCACATTATGCTTTAGTCCTTGATTTGCAGACCATCTTAACAATTGAGTTGAAATAACAATCTGATGATAGAGCGGCAACCCTAGTATGAAAAAAGAATAAAACAATGTGCGATTCTTTTTTTCTTTGCAGACATTTCCCCAGAACTATTTTATCGATTTGCGAAATTCATTTACTTACAACCTAATATAATTCTTGGGCACCTTGAAAAAACAACGAACTGAAAAGACCAAAACAATATCAAAAAGGTAATTTAGTAAGTCTTTTGATTTCTGTGTGTGTGTGTGTGTGTGTGTTCGGTCTTCTAACCAAGCCGAGGTGTTGGATTTGTTTCGAGGATCATGGCTTTCTAGACCTTACTGCTTATTCGTTATATTAAACATTGGGCCCGGAACCACTAAGTCTGATACTGGAATTAAAGTAGGAGGCTTGGGTGATAAGGTTGTCCATAATGTTATGTTTGTGGGCTCAGGTTTTGTATCCAGCAACCCAACCTACACTAGGGGCATCCATCCTTACATTTCCTGTTCAGAAGCTGAATTGAGGTTTACGGAGTAAAGAAGATTTAAATTCTTGTGGCTATAGGCTAAAACTGATTTGGAATAAAAGAAAATGGTAGCTAAAATTCTTGTGCAGCAGGGAAAATTGAGATCGGCTGGTAGAATGGCAGTAGGAGATGGGAGTTATTAAGAGTTTGTATTTTTTCAAATTTAAAGCAACACTACAACTAACAATGAAGAAAGGAGTGAAAGAACAAGAAGGAGAAGATAAAGCAGAGAATCTTGCTAAAACCCATGGCGCCACTACAGGACCAAAAAAATTCCTCCTGATGACTTGGCATTTGATCATCAGATTTTTAAAAATAATTGGGGAAGGTCGTGTCATATTCCATTTGGAGCTTGAGATATAAGATTTTTATTACTATTTCTGTGATTTGTTTTTGGGTACAAAGCTTCTTGTGCATAAAATTAACCACTGTACATGAGCAGCATACATGTGTGCATTTGCTTCAGACCATATTTTGATGGTTTGACAGGGAAAAGTTTGTCCACTTGCTTGAATTATATGTTCAATATTCGGCCATGTTAATTAAGTTATTGGCACACCCCAAACCTTTTCTCTCTTTCCTCAGAAAGTAGCTAAATGTCGGATTTTGTTTACTGAAATTTACCTGTAAACTTCTCTGCCGCCTTCAAATCAGAATTTGGTTTACTTGACAACTTGCAAGCATGCCTGGTGTTGCCAAATATTATCTTTTACATTGTTAACTTTGCGTTCTGCAATTACAACTGGGTATGCAAAGAATTTATGGCAACAGAAAAATGGCAGAAATTATCGAGGAATGCACATTTATACCTCCGGCACATGAATTATTACAACTGACTAATTATGATTGTTGTGTTCTACCATTCTGCTGGCCATGGTGCATAGTTAAATGTTTTGCAGTTTCATTCCATATCCTCAAATTTTAGCTAATTAGAATTAAATGTATGACCATCAACTTTCTGGTTAGTATATTGTTTTGTGAAGCCTTCATGAACTCACTCTTTCTTGGACCTCTGTTCATTTTTAACCAAAATTTGTAATTGTTGTAATGCAGAAGCGGTACGAGGACATTCCAGTTTTGGGACAAAGGCCATCTGAATAAATTACCAGTCTCTCTTGTTCTTTTGGGGTCGCTGGTTTCTTTTTTAGAATCGAAAGACATCATGTATTGATCTTTTAATAAGCATTGATTTTCAGGTCGTTTTCTGGGCGAAACTTAAAATACCTAGTTAATTGGAATTTGTGACCGGAGTTATTTCTCGTTTTCCTGCATTTTGGATTCTTTCAGTTGAAAATGATGTTACAAAGCTGGTTGAATAACTTTTGGTTTAACTCTCTTGGTTTCATGTTTAATTCACTCGTGAAAATGTGCCACAAAACACGCCCGCTTACTGGACGTTATGCAATTGAGAACCCAAATCCCAATAATTTATGTNCTTTCAGTTGAAAATGATGTTACAAAGCTGGTTGAATAACTTTTGGTTTAACTCTCTTGGTTTCATGTTTAATTCACTCGTGAAAATGTGCCGCAAAACACGCCCGCTTACTGGACGTTATGCAATTGAGAACCCAAATCCCAATAATTTATGTACATTGGTAGTAGAGTAGCCAAAGGTTAATGCAAGTTCACCAATTATATCTATAGATTATTTTGTTATCTTGATACTTCCAACTAAGAAATTACCTGATGATTATTGTTAAGGTAATGATTGATTTTGCATGCTCTTTCTGTTTGTGTTTTGTTAGCTTTTTATTTCCATCTCTTTAGGACTTGGTATAAGGATCTGTTTTGATTTTATGGTAATATTAGTTATTGTATGTGCCGAGTAATAAAAAAAAAAANAAGGTTAATGCAAGTTCACCAATTATATCTATAGATTATTTTGTTATCTTGATACTTTCAACTAAGAAATTACCTGATGATTATTGTTAAGGTAATGATTGATTTTGCATGCTCTTTCTGTTTGTGTTTTGTTAGCTTTTTATTTCCATCTCTTTAGGACTTGGTATAAGGATCTGTTTTGATTTTATGGTAATATTAGTTATTGTATGTGCCGAGTAATAAAAAAAAAAAGGTAACATTAAATATATTTATATTCACATTAAAAATTAAATTACAAATATAGAGGAGAGAGAAAGGATTTTAAGTACCGATTATAGTAGGAGCGAGAGATAGTAGTAGTGGTGGCAACGGTGGTGGGATGGTATGGTGATGACAGCGATGGTGATGGTAAGGGGCGGTGGTAGTGGTGATGGTAGTGGTTGAGGTGGTGACATTGGTGGTTGTGGGGTGGCGACAGTGGAGGTGGTAGTGGTATTGGTGATGATGGTGGGGGGAAGTTTGGCGGTGGGGTGGCGGTGGTGGTGGTGGTAGTGGTAGAGTGGTTCTAAATACTATTTTTTTTAAAAGTATTTATGAGAAATTATAAGTATTAAAATACTTTTAAAAAGTCACCATAAACACACTCTTAGGACACTATTTTTCTTATTAAATTTAGAGTGTTAATATTAGTTGTCGGATTAACTTTAAAATAAAATTGAAAAAGATCTCAACCGCAAATAGCAAAAGTCATTTTGTTTATATTTTTGAAATTTGAATTGTATTATAATAAAAGAATTTATAAATATTAAAAACATTTTTAAAAAGTCACTTCAAACACACTTTTGACGACCTATTTTTCCTATTAAATGTATAGTGTTAATATTAGTCGTCAGATTAACTATAAAATAAAATTAAAAGAGATCTCAACCACAACTAACAAAAGTTATTTTATTTATCTTTTAAAATTTAAATTTTATTGTATTTTATTATATAAATTTTATTCATCGAACTTGCCAAAATAAAATAAAATTTATTGTAAGTTGTAAAGCGGAGATATTCAATGGAATTTACCACCGTAGAAGAATAGGGCCAGGCGAGAAGGAGGCCCACAATTGATTATATGTATTGCGGATAAGATTTTGTTTAATTGAGTTGTGTGAATAGTTTTCTCAATCACTCACTGCCCATAACTACAATAAGGATAATTGAATTCATAAAAATTAATTTATCTTTAATGATATAATTAGTAATTTTATAAAATAGACAGTGACATAATATAACCATAACACGAGACAATGGCATATGATAGTGATAGTGAAAGAGACAATAAAAGTTTAAATTTCACGAAAAATTATTATCCAAATTCTGATGTTCGAATTTAAAACAAGTTTTCTCAATACTAAAGAAATTATGCACAATGTAGAAATTATTTTCTCAATACGAAACATTTATTGTGTTTGAGTAACTTGAGTTTGAAATAGAATTTGAGTTATTAAATTTCTAATGCATTTCAGTGAACACTATTTTGGCATCCCCAGAGCATGGAGATATGTCCGAGCAACAACAGAGTCGTTGTTGGTGATGGAGGATGATACAACGCCGACAAAGAGAGCACTGTAGGAAAAAATAAGAAAAAAGAAAAAAAATAGACTATCAGACGTATTTACCAAAAAAATACATAACATATAAAATGATGTATTGACGAAATAAATCCCCATGGAGCAACAAATGGTTGGTCCAGCTCAGCCCATCCCATCATTGCGGTGATGGGAAAGAGATAATGGGATATAAATAGGGTGTTAAGTGTGTCCGGTTAAACAGTTACGTATCGGATTAAACGGGTGACAAGTAAAAAATATATAAATTCGTACACGACATGTTTAATAAACGGATAAAAAATCTCAATAAGAACACGATTCATTTAATAAACGGGTAACACGACACGACTCGTTTAATTTGTTTACTTTTTAAAAAATTATATTAACAAATTTTAATATTCAACTTTTTTTTATTGTCAATTACACTTTACGTCAAAAAAAAAAGAAATTTTTAATTAAATCTCATAAAAATAAGACTTGAAGACTTAAAACAAAATAAAATAATAGGTCATTACTTTTTATGGGCAACTCAACCCTCCTCATCTCCTCTCATTTTTTAATGTGAGACAAAAAAAAGGCATTGGTTTACTTTTTGTCTTTGAAGTTCTCCTCATCTCCTATCTTTTCTTTTTGAACTATTACTTTATTTTTTTTATTGATTTATTTACTTTTTTTTTTCTTTCAAATTTTTTTAAATAATTATTAATTTATTATTATATTAATTTTATTTAAACGGATAAACGTGTGATAAACGGTTTGATAGGTCTCACCCAACACACAACCTGTTTTATTAAACGTGTTTAGTGTGTCAAACCTATTTATCACCCAAACCTATTAAGATCTCACCAAAACCCGCTTAATTCTTGTCGATTCGTGTCGGTTAATTATGTCGTGTCGAATTTTGACAGCCATAGATGTGAGTACCTTTTTCAAAACTTATTTGGTTTTAAGTACCACCTCCAAACTTATTCTGCTTTAAGTCTTCTTTTTCATCAAATAGTTGTAAATAAGTACACATTTTCAAATTCTTGCTAAAATGTATTTCATAATTACACCTATCATAAATAATGCATACCTATTTGAATGTAAGACTTTCAAAATTAAAATGTGAGACTTTCAAAATTCCTTTTGATATTTGTGTATCATTTGAATTTTGAAATTTCATATATATATATATATACACACACACACGTGCGCGCAATACAATGACATCAAACAGTGACACGCTCAACAAAAAAAGAGTAATATCAAATAGTGACACACTCAATAAAAATATTTGTGTTACTGTTTGATGTTACTATTTTTTTGTTAAATGTGTTACTGTTTGATGTTACAATTTTTTTGTTGAGTGTATTATTATTTAATATTACTCTTTTTTTATTGAATGTGTCACTATTTGATATCACTGTATTACGTGTGTGAGTGAATATATATATATATATATATGAAATTTCAAAATTCAAATGATACACAAATATAAAAAAAAAATTTAAAAATCTCACATTCTAATCTTGAAAGTCTCACGTTTAATTAATTATGCACTATTTATGGTAGGGGTAAAAGAGCTTTTATGACTTTTTTTTTAAGATATGTACTTCTATTCCAACTATTTTAAAAAATATATTTTTGTCCTATTAAATTTTTTGAGAGGTACCGGGCTTCTTAAGCCCCTTGGAAAATCATCGGTGGACCACTTTAGGCCCTTTACTAGGCTGGAGCATGACGGATCGAAGAGTAACATTGGACCCAGCCCATGTTCTTCTCGCACGTGGCAGGAACTGTACCTCACGTGATTAGGGTTGTAAACAAATATAGAACGCCTAGCTCTGCTGAACGCTCATCGGCAGTCACAAACCCTAACCCAGAGTTTTCATCTCAGGTGCTCTCTCTCTCTATGATTTTGCAGTCTCAATAGGTCAATTCTCTAATAGGAGATATTGAAGAAATGGGTGTATAAGTTCTGTTCTTTCTTTTACTATTTTGAGCATTGACTATGGTTTCGTTCTTGTACAGGTGAAATCTGAGGGAAGGAA